AACAGATTGTTGGGCATGTAGGAGAGAATGAGCCCCCAGCTCCTGACTTGCAGTAATAACATTCTGATTCTGAAGATGTGGTAAGCATGTCTCTTCAACACCTGATGCATCATGGGGATGTGGAGCTTCAATACTATCCTGATTATCAGACACAAGTAAATCATCTGCCAATATATCAGTCGGAAGAACAGAGACAGTTTTGTCTCCGGTAGTGGGAGGGGGATGTGACATTGTGTCAACCGGTGTTTCAATAATATGTGGAATGCACTCAGGAGCGGAAGAGGGACATGTATGAGGTGGGGCAGATCTAGAAGCGTTTTTACTTGAAGGTTTTAAATTCGGATGCAACTGATAACATTGAAAAGGAGAATGTCCAAACATACGACAGTGGGTACAATAAAGTGATATCTGTTCAAGTTCTGCTTGCTGCCAAAATCTCTGATGTTGCGTGTCAATCCATATTTCTCCCGGAAAAGGTAAAATAATATTTCTTTCTATCAAAATTCTGGCTTTTATATATATATGTCTATATATAATAGAAAATTAAGCGAGATTACATAAAGTAAGATTGAGCATTTATGCATAAAGAACTTAAATATCTAATTAAAAAAATAATTTATTTAATTTGTTTTAATATAAATATTATGTTTATACCATGTTTTCAATTTAGGAGTTAATGTCAAGACAAATTAGACAACAATAAATCGATATCGAGGTGAGTACTCGTAATTTTAATCTATGATAATATTTTGGTTTTCTCCACCATTTTGCATTAGTAGATAATGATACTTGTATAGTCTTTATTTTTAATTTTAATGTTTCTCTCATTTATTGGTCATATTGCTATGAATGTTTGTAACTACTTACTATCATGAATTAGTGTAGGTTATTTGTAGTATATTGAATTGAATGCAATGAACACATGAGTGATATGTTTGTATTGATTACCTGTATGTGCATGATCAATGCTAGAGACATCCCTTTATGGTACTAGCGGAGGAACACTAAGATACCCGTGCTCGTAAATGAAAAAAAAAAAAACATTGATAATGAAGCACCTTAAGTGGTGTAATTTTTTCACGGTGCTCCTGGGACGGTTGTACAGATATAAAATAATATATATATGCTATTAATATAGTAAACATTATTAAATAATATCAAATGTTTATATTGATATTACTTATCAGAGAGAAGGTGAAATATTCTAGGAAGGAATAATACCTTAGAGGTAGTTGAGTTTCCAAGAGGGAAAAGAGCTATGGGGTGTATATGGCTGTTTGTAATAAATAAAAAGTTGATGGAAGCTTAAAAAGATATATAACTGCACATGTAGCAAAATAATTCGCTCACATCTATGTGATTGATTATCACGAAACATTTGCTCTTGTTATAAATTTTTTTTTCTAGTTTTTAACCTTGGAAAGATTATACAACAATATAATATAAAATAAAATATTGTCCCTCTTGCCAGTAGGATTCAGTGTCTTTATTTTAAAATAATCAAGTATGTTAAATAAAGCTCATTGTAGCTCAAGATAATGACCAAGGGGTTGATTCGGCATACTCATTAATGAGTTATTGCAAATTAGGCAGGAACAAAGCCAAGAAGATCTGATGACTCGGTTAGGGCAGGAGATGTTTTAGATTTTACTTAAGAAAGATAAAGGTCAACCTAAAAAGGCCTGGGCATATTGTATTAAAAGTTATCTGAATTTATTAGAAATAAGTGAAAATATGACACTCAAATGCTCAATAGGATACAATTGAGAAAAATGATTCACGTAGCCAACCCCAGTTAGTGGGATAAATGTATCTTGTTGTTGTTTATGTAGGTTCCTCAAGAATTGCTTTCCTTTACATATTTCTGCTTATGTAATCAAATTAATATTTCTGCACATCTGAGTATGCATAGACGGAAAGAGTTGCTTACTGAATTACAGGAGGGGATTAACTTTTTTAATGTACACCACCTTTCATGCATTTCTTGACAATTTATAAACATTTTTAGGCAGTTGAGGAGGATCCAAATGATGTGGCGCAATGGCATCAATTTGGCCTACACAATCTTCGTGTTCTGCAGTTCAATACATCTGTGAGGTTCCTCAAGGAAACTGTAGCTCGATGCGTGGAATGCAGCTATGCTTGGTCTAATCTTGGTAATTATCAGAGTTCCTCTTTTTTTGTTATCTTATTTTCTGTTATAAAGATAAGTTTCGGTGGTTGGATCACCACTCAATTGCGGGTTACTTCTTTTTAAGAGGCTGATGTTGGGGCTGCTCAAATTGTTTATATGAGAAATTTGAAATAAAAATATAACCATGATAAACAAAGCAGTACTTGTGTATGACCGTAAATACAGAGGAGGTGAAACATGGCACTTCGCAAGGGTACAGCCTTTTCAATGCCTAATGCCGTTGTCAGACTGCATAGACATTATTGGACAAATTGGAAATTTAATGAGTTTCCTGTACAAATAGGCAAGACAGACTAATTTATACAGCTTTGTTGAACTAAAAATATTACATTGAAACATTTGAAGTTAAATCTTAGATATGAAATCCAAGATATATGGTATGAAGAAGAAAGAAGCCTTCAAAGTAATGCATTGTGTTTGTGGTTGGTTGAGAATTCAGAAGTATTTGTTTGAGATGATCGGACTTCATAAGAAGTGTATTTAGAGCAACAATGCAACTGGACTAAAATGAAGTTTAACTGTAGATGGGAGATCTTTCTACAATTCTTGGTGGTAGATGGTTTAGGAAGGAAGAACAATAGGCTGACAAGGAAAATGGATGTTAGGGGATCTGATTTAAGGCTGTATATAGAACATAAAAGTTGAAAGAAAATGCGATGACATGGCATATGGGTGTTCGGGTTTATTTAGTTGGTATTGTGGGTTGTTTGAGGGCTGCTTATTGGCCAAATGGCCATGAACAAGCTAGCTTCTCAGGAGTTTGGAAATATGAGATAAATGTGTTTGGCTTGAGATTCTAACGAGTGTTATCTGACAACGAATGGCTGTAGAAAGGAACAAACAATCGATCATAAACACTACTTATAGTGGTTTAGCAAAATGCTCCACAATTTCCATTGTAATTTTCTATTCAACAGATGACAACCTTACAATAATAATTAGTGAGAGGTGGGGAAAGAACCAATCGCTACAATGTATTAACCTTGATGAAAACAAAATCTCCAACTTCAAACTCAACTGATCTGTGCTTGAAATCAAAATATTTCTTCTTTCTATCTTGCAATGCCTTAAGTTTGTCTCTGATAAATCTAATATTTTTAGTAGCATCATCAACCAAATCAATTCCAATGATTTTTCTTTCGTCTGTATTAGCCCAACATAAAGGTGTTTTACACTTTTTTCCATACATGGCTTCATATGGAGCCATCCTGATGCTAGCCTGGTAACTATTATTATTAGGAATCTCTATTAATAATATATGTGATTCCCATTCTCCACCAAAATCAAGGACATAACTTTAGTAGATCCTCTAAAGTCTGGATTGCCCTTTCTACTGGCCATTCGTCTGAGGGTGAAAAGTCGTGTTGAGAGTCAATCTGGTGCCCAAAGCTTCTTGAACATTTTTCTACAAGTTGTAGGTAAATTTGTCATCTCCATCAGAGACAATAGATTTCGTCGCTCCATGTAATCTTACGATTTGATCCACATCTAATTTGGCTAGCTTTTGACCAGCTGGATCTGTTTGTCTAATTGACTAGAAATGGGCATACTTGTTCAGTCTATTGACAATTTCCCATATAGCATCATAATCCAGACGTGATCTTGACAACCCAATAACAAAACCATTACAATTTCTTTCCATTTTCACTATGGAACTGGTAAAGCTTGCAACAAACCTCCAGGTTGCTGATGTTTTTCTTGCAATGGCTGACATGAAGGACACTTAGCCACAAATTCTATCACACTCCTCTTCAATCCTGGCTACCAAAATACTTATTTGAGATCCTACCACATTTTATTACTTCCTGGGTGAATAGTATAACTGGACAAATGTGCCTCAAGAATTTCCTTAGATTATCAACATTTAGGACATAGAATTCGCCTTTATATCTTAATAAACCATTTTGATTTAGTGCGTAAATCTCCAAACTGTTTGCCTTAATCCGCTTCAGGACTTTTTGAACACTGCTATCTTTGGATAAAAAAATTCCAATTCTGCCATTTATAGTTGGCTGCTCTTTCAACTGATTTACTTTAACCATACTCATCACCATAATCAACTATAGAAAGCTTCAACCTCTCTAAATCTTCAAATAACTGCTTCTAGTGAGTAAATAAATAATTCAAATTACCTGAAGATTTTCTACTCAGCGCATTTACAATAATATTTGCTTTCCCAGATGATATTGAATATCTAAATCATAATCTTTAATAAATTTCAACCATGTCCTCTGTCTCAGGTTTAGCACTTTTTTATTGAAGATATTCAAACTCTGGTGATCAGTAAAAACTTTGAATCTAACATCCTACAGATAATGCCTCCATATCTTGAGAGCAAACACAACTGCTACAAGCTCCAAGTACTGTCTGGAATAGATATTTTTATGATTTTTAATTGTCGTGATGCATATGCAATAACCCTTCCATGCTGCATAAGTACATACCCCTTAAAGATGCATCGCCGAAAATCTGAAACTCATCATAATTTAAAGAAATAGCCAACATTGGAGCAGATATTAAACAAGTTTTCAGCTTATGGAAAGCCTTTTCACAACGATATGGCCATTCAAATTTCACTGCCTTTTAAGTCAATCTTGATAGTGGTTTAGCAATCTGTGAGAGAACCCATCAGCAAATCTTCTATAATAACCAAGAGAACCCATCAGCAAATCTTCTATAATAACCAATCAGAGCTAGAAAGCTTCTAACCTTAGATTGTCAGTCCAAATTACATCACCACGAACTCATAGTACCCGTATCTGATCCTAAAAGTTGTCTTCGTTGTCTTTTTCTTTAATCCCTAGTTAGTGATAGTCTGACCCCAGATCAATCTTTGAAAATATAGAAACATTTTTCAACCGATCAAACAAATCGTGAATCCTTGAAAGTGGATAATTGTTTTTAATTGTGAGCTTATTCAATTTTCTGTATTCAATGCATTTCCTGAAGCTTCCATTCTTTTTGTCTTCACAAATAATACTGGAACTCCCCAAAGTGAGGTGCTGGGTCTGATGAACCACCTATTTAGTAACTTTTGCAATTGACTTTTCAACTCCTACAACGCCTTAACTGTCATTCTGTAAGGTGCCTTTGATACAAGCTTAGAACCTGGCAAGAACCCAATAGTGAGATTAAACTCTTGCACTGTTGGTAATCCTGGTAAATCATCAAAGAAGACTTTTGGATATTCTTTTACCATTAGAATATCTCCCAAAGGCTACTTCCTTAGAAGTTTCTGTTGCTTGAGCAAGAAATCCTTGACTTCCACAATTTAACAATTTAAAAGCCTTAAAACATGTAATTATCATGGATGTCGATCTTCTGTCACCATAAAATTTAACTCCTGCTTCCCCCAAGTTATTTGTTTTGACAGTCTTCTTATTGCAATCAATAATGGTTGTTTTTAGATATACAATCCATGCCTAGAATCACTTTAGACTTCTTGAAGGGAAACATAATAAGTTGTAACTCAAAATCTTTTCCGCCAATCATTAACTTTACCTCACGTGACTGATTCACCTCTATAAAAACACCATTTGAAATTTTCACCGATAATATTATAGGCGTAGAAATATATTTAGTTGCATCACTCTAATTAGTTCTTAGTTGTAAAAGAATGCAATGCTCCCGAGTCAAATAATGCTCTTAGAATCCTACTCTGAAGATATATGATACCTATCATTAAAATCATTGCATTGAATATTTAGAGTTTGCTTATTAATGTATTTTAATTCTTTGTTTTATGAATGACACGGCGTGACTGTGATGATTAAAGGTGCACTTGTTAAAATTATGAAAAATCAAACATACTTGTAATAACATTAGGGAAGCCCTTAGCTTCTTATTGCGAAAGTGCATATACTCTGGTCTGGATATTCTGCTGAGTCTCTCCTGCATTTAACACTGATCATGAAGATTCAGCTACCCTCAGTCTGCCAATGTCCTTTGAGGTGGTTCAACACTGCTCCTAGAATCTGTTGGAGCCCTCTGACCTAATCTAAGGTTGTTCCTCGCCATATGTTCTTGCTAGTGGCACCAAAAACAAGTATTTGATCCAGATAAACACTTTCCTTTGTGAGACCTTCAACACTTATTGCATTTCTTCGCTTTAAACTCAGTGTCAGTGCTGCTAAATTTGGCCATAACACTAGTTTTCACTGACTGGAAGGACTACCTACCCTAAAAGCTCTGAGAAAAAACCTGGATCCCTTTGAATTTCTTCTCTTCTGAATGTCCCTGCTCCTCTGAGTAGCTTGTGTATCCAACTCAATCCTCTTGGCTCTCTCCACCAACCCAGAGTAATCATCGATTCCAAGAAAAATCAAAAGCGGTCTAATTACATCTCTCAACCCAGATAAAAATCAGTGACACTTCTTTACATTTGGAATCAACTGAGTCACATATCATCAGAGCATAGTGAATGTTGTCTCGTACTGTATAATTGAGCAATCACCCTGTACCAATGGAATAAAATTGTCCTGCATTTGCTTCATGGCTCACAGTGGTACGACCAGTCTCTAAAAGTGCCCACAAACTTGTCCCACTAAATCATGTGGCTGACTCTACCCCCTTTTTTCTCCTGCTGCTATTATCGTCATCATCTCTCCGCTTCTCCCTCTAATGCAATTGTATAGCGAGTGTAACCATCAAATCCAGAGGACAAGACAATCTATTTAAGATCTTCTTTACCCTCAACAACCAATTTTCAGCATCTGATGTACCTCCAAAAGAGAGAGGTGGTCTCATATAGTGACAAAATTTTAAGTATTTGTCTAGCTAGCCTCTCTCACTAGAACTTGCCCGAGTCTGAGAATTCTTAATTAAGTGCGTTACTACAGTCATTATCTCAGAAAATGCACTTGTATTCACAATAATCTATGCAGGTATATCAACTTCTATCATATCATCTCTAGGTTCTTCCTCTTCATTTTTCACATTTTTGCAATAACACGAGAAAGATTTTAATTTGACATGATTTAACCTTTATTAATATTACTTATGAATTAATTTAACATGCATTATTCTATAAAGTAGCTCTTAAAATAGATGATTTCTTATATGCCATGACTTTAAACCAGTAAAATGCATGTTAATTTTTTTTTGAACAATGCTTATAAACTCAATATATGCTGAAAACAGTATTTATGTTACAACCATGTTTAGATGTCCTATAATTTGCTCTCAATAATATAGTTAATAAATAGAGCCTTCACTGGTTAGCTCTAGCCTTCTTTTGTTATGTGAGGGGCTATGATATGGGCGAACCCAATGAGATTTTACTTCATTGTCTTGTGCTTGCATGGTATTAGAGAGTTTAGGAGTTTTTTCCATTTTATTTTATTTTTTCTACTGTTAGATTGGATACAAATTGGTCGAAGTTTGAATAGATCAACTAGTGTTGGCTAATTAATTAAACGGAGTTTATAGAGTGGTATTCTTTCAAAATGATTTGTTTTGGATTTTTTAGGATTATCAATAGATTGGGTATGTAAAATTTGTTAAACAAAATTTATTTGATGTAGTAGCTCTCAATAGATTGGGTATGTAAAATTATTCAAACAAATTTTATTCGATGTAGTAGCATTTAATAGATGATTTTTTGTTTGCCATGATCTTAAACCAATAAAATGCACGTCAAATTTTGTTTGAACAATGTTTATAAACTTAGCATATTTTGAAAACAGTATGTATCACAAATATATTTAAAAATCCTATAAATTGCTCAATAAGCAGTTAGTTTAATAGAATGGGGAGGTGGTAAACTAATGATGGAGGTAATGAAAGGGGCTTTATATCTAGACACTTGAACTAATTTTGTATTTTATTTTGTGAATATTAAGACTTAAGAAAACACCATTGGCGTGCACTTTTCAACCACCCACAGGATTTTGGATCCAACAATAGGCATAATTAAATGAAGTTCTAGGAAGGAATATAAAAAGTTCATTTATTAAACATAAAATTTACATTCCATATTTTTTGGAAATGCAAAATTTTTAGTGGGTAATTTAAAATTTATCTAACAATATTATACATAGAATATGGATAAATAGTTGTTAAGATAATGTTGCTCATTCGTTTATGAAAGGTAGTATTTTGTGAACTGCTTCATATCTTTTTCATTCAAAAATATCCTCAAAATTTAGCAAAGTTTCCTTCAGTGTGTTTTTTTGGGCGCCTAATTACATGGTGAAATGATTTTGATGCAGGTGTGGCTTTGCAGCTTTCAGATGATCCATCCTTAACAGAAGAGGTTTACAAACGTGCTCTATCCTTAACCACTGCTCAACAGGCGCATGCCATTCTTTCAAATCTTGGAAATCTCTTTCGCCAGCAAAAAAGATTTGAACATGCGAAGATTATGTTTGCAAAATCTCTGGAGATCTGCCCAGGATATGCACTAGCACATAACAATCTTGGTCTGGTTTATGTGGCAGAGGGCAGGTGGGAAGATGCAGTAAGCTGCTTTGAGAAGGCTCTGCAGTCCGATCCTCTTCTCGATGCTGCGAAATCCAATATGGTCAAAGTAGCAGTCATGTGCAGTACTGCTGGTTCCTCAAAATGATGCAGAATGAGATAAGCCTTTTCTGTTTCTTTCAGCTCATCAAACTGACTTGCATTTCATGTGTTAGATTCGGTGAAAGCTTATTGGAGTTTTAGGCCTAGTTTTCTTGCAGCTATGTGAAATTTATAGCATGTAATTAAAGTTCCATAGCTTTGATTTAGACCTCATACGTAGCAACAGGGTATATGACAAATAAGTTAATGTTAATAATTTTATAAATATTAATTGGTCAATGTTAATAATTTTATTCAAGTTGTTGCTTGCATATGCAAGCTGTTTTATTCAATAAGATTTTTATAGAAATAAACATCAAGCACGCTAATGTAAAGGAAATAGACAAATAAGTTTTAAGTTCATCAAATTTTACTTACAAAAATTTAAGCTTTAACAAAAAAATTAATTTATTATTTAACTTACAAATATTATGTTAAAAAGTACTGATGAATTTTGAATGACTTGCACACAAATGTTGAAAATGGAATTAATTTATGAAATTATAAAACAATGCATGCAAAATCAACATTATGACTAATTACATAATGTGATATTGTTCGCATGATCTGCATTAATTATGAATACAAGTAATTGAGTAAACTAGATCGTGTATTAGTTCAATCAATCATGGCGATCATTTTATACGATCGTTTTTTCAAGAAGTTGTAATTTGAACTTTTAGTCCTTTTGTGCTTTGAACGCGAATTGATATTGATTAAAAAATGCAATTAAGCTACGTGGGTTGATGGATGTGCTGATAGGGATTGAAAGGTAATATAACCTTGAAGACCAAAAAGGAAAATTATGGGGAGGAAAAATGCTAAGATCATTGTTTTCCTCTCAAGAATTGCTATGAATTGATAAATTTTGCCTTATGGGCTAAAGTGTAAAACTTTGGAAGAGAAATTCCGAATATGAAAATTTTCATCTATTCAAGATGATACTACCTATTGGCTTATATCACACGGATTTAAGCTTTTAAGATTTGCAATATTTCTTAATTTTAAAATAACTACAATTTGAATAAAAAGAAAATTAAAATATTAAGTAATGACCACATTAAAGATTAGTATGAGCAGCAGTTTTTGCTCATATGAATGCTATTGCCTGATACAACCCCTTGAAATCCAAGTCGTTCTGTGGGATGTGTGGTCTTGATTTCCTTCAAAAACGGATTCAGAAGAGACTTCTGTTAAGTAGCGCCACAACAGCAATTGCCGCGAGTACTACAATGTCTGGTACCACAGCACATAGGGACTAGCCAAAAAATATGTGCGCCACGCAACACTTTTAGGATTTCTCAGATGGTTTGGAAACCTAACATATGTTGCAGTGGTACTACGCACCCCTCTCCCGCCGCCAACCACCCTTAAACACTCCCAAGCGCCCCCGTGCCCTATCAATTGAATTGATGGTGACCGGATTTACGAACACAACACAAAGGTGAAAGTTGCGGCTGTTGACCGAACATAAACTCTGTGACGCAACATTGCATGCTAACACCACAATGCTCGGGTGCGAATTGATTGTCACAATTCATTGTCATTGGTCAGGACATGGCAAGTGTCTTAATGATGCCACTTATTTCCACAATGCCTTGGGTCATGCTTAGGAGATGTCGATGCATCTTTGTGGCGTCAGTTTTTCAATATAAAGGGGTCAAGGGTGTTCAAATTGATTTAGTGGTTTTGAATTTTGAATTCCTGAATCCCAAAGTTTCCACTCTTTTTAACCTTTTCATTCTTCTGCTCTGGCAAAAAAAAAAAAAAATGGAAGATACATCAAGCTCCAGAACTAAGGGAAGGCGGAGGGCTACGTCGTTTGACAGCCACAGATTTGTCAGGTTGAAGCCCAACAGAGGTAAGATTGTTCCAAATATTTGATATAATGCAAATTATCCTATTTTAACTAGATTTTATACTATCGTTCTAGAGATTGAGTGAATTTACACTTGTCATTCGTTTGATAAGTACTTTTCTATCTAAATGCTTGGTATATGACCGAGCTTAGTGCTCAGATGCCTTTTAGCCACACTACACATCTCACACTAGATGTTGTGACTAGGAAACACCTTATATATGATTTTTTAGTCTTTGGTAGGGTGCATTTTGGTTTTCCATATGCTTAAATATTGTTCTTAGTTAGTTTATGATCTGGTTGTTGCATCTTTTATTGTGCCTTATTTTGACATGTTATTGGGTTTGGTTTGTGCTCTTTATTATATATAGGGGCGTTCCTCTAAAAGGAACCACGTCTAATTTCCAGTAGCATCAAAATTGAAATATCATAATAATAACCTCTTATGTCGGTGTTTCCTAGTTCTTCTCCCATCCGACATTGTTAATTTCATGTTTGCATCCCTTATACGTTTGTAAATCATATAGTTTATACACCACAAGAAATCCACACATTGCTTGTTGACATTCCAGTCAGTAATCAAATATTTTTAGCCTTTAAATTAAATTTAATTGATTTCGGCTTAATGTTGATAGCGAGTAAATTAATATTTTTTACTTTTTTTGGCATAAATTTTATCAGCTAGTACAATGTCTGCTGGTAAATAGTTAACAATAAAAAATTAGCCTGTTGTCAATGTTTTAAACTAATTTCTTAGTCAGTAATATTATTGGCTAATTTCAACCGTTAAGTTCTTAATGACTAAATTGTTAGCTACTGAATGTTTTAGCTGGATACTGACAGAAATGTTCTGTCATTAAATAAACAACTAATTTGTAGCCAGTAAAAAAATTTGTAACTAAAAAAATATCCGCTAATCATCTAAAAACCTACAAAAAATAAGAATAAAAATGAGGCATTTAACACAAGAAAATATATAAACATACAATCACATAATCACATAATGAACTGAATATAATTCACATCCATAACTTCTCATAATGTCATAAAATAACACATGAACAATTAAATCAAATGAATTCATAAAAAATATAATAATTTATCTATAACAGTTCAATAAAATAAATGAAAAAATTCTAAATGAGCTTGATCTACAAATACAAAAGAAAGAAAAATTAATCATCTCGGGGTCATCTTCATCATCCTCATCCTTCTCCTTATTCATGTTGGTCACATGTGCCTTGCCACATTAACGTGCTTGATGTTTCAGCTCATTAATAGTTACCTTGAGGCTTTTTACTCTGGCATTCATGGCTTTGTCTTTCTGCATTATTCGAAACTCCATGTCATGCCAATTTCCATCATACTTGGCCTGCAAGTCTTCAGTGAGTATGCCAACATGCCTGGCGACTTTAACGTTAATTGATGATGACCTCTAGCTAGAACGGGAGTATTGTGCATCATAAACAAATCCCTTGTCTCGTAAGCAATACATCCTCTCCTTGATGATATTGAATAACATCATCTGGGTTAACATAACTTAATTTTTCCTTCTCTTAGTAGTTTTTTGAATCATCCAATCTTCTTCTAATTCTAATCTAGTAACCAAACATTCTTCCACAATGGGATCAAAAATGGTGACAAAATTAGTGGAATCCACAATTGGATCAATAGTGGTGATCAAAGAACTGCTAGGTTGATAATTATCTTTTCTAATAATAACTTCCATTTCATTATTATTAGAAAAAATAATTTTATTGGTGTTATTACGGACAATCTCTTGGCCCAGAAAACTCTTATATGATTACTTAAATCATTTTTTTTTTTGCTTAGAAAAGATAATTTCATTATTCATCAATTTAACATCTGTTAACAAAGAAATACTATGTATATTTGCATCTGTCAAGTCAAGCATTTTCTTGTTCCTCTGATGTAAAATTGGATGGGTCTCAATGAACTCAAAATTTTCGAAATCTTTTATCTGAAGATCTATAGTTTGATCATTGTGATTGCCAGGTCTAACAACCTTTCTATTTTGTATATTAGGTTTAAATTAGGATGAGCTATAAAGTAGTTGGATAAATAATGTCCAATCATACGACAATTATTGCAGTAGGGTGGAACATATTCCATTTCCACACTCTGTCAATAGCCAGAATTTGAGTCTCCAATCCAGATTGAATTACAGAAAGGAAGAGTAACATCTCTTTCTATCATTACTCTAGCCACATATGGTCTCGAATAGTTTAAAATAGTCGAATTAATTTTCATCGAGGTACCTTATATAGCACCCAGAGAATAAAAAACTTTTTTTTTAATTAAATGAAGTTTTAAATCTAGGAATCATAATCATATAGGAATAATAGGTGGTTCCTCCATTAGGTTGAAATCAGTAGACCACTTCAAAATCTTCATGTTAACTTTTTCAATTTGCAACACTTTTCTTGCCATAAGTAAGGTATAGTCTTCTTCTTTCTCTAAGCATATCATTTGATTCCTTCCATCTATTAGCCCAACATTCCGTCTACCGAGAAATTTCAATTTTGCAAAAGAAGTCTTTGTTATCTCCATCTTATGGTGTGCAAACATGAACTTACTAATTAAGTTGAATTTTAAGAGCTCTGCGAGTGCCATCGTTTCTTCCTCCAAATATAGTAAAGCAGGTTTCCCATTTTTCCTTGAAGCTTTTTTAATCAATTCAATCGCATTATTATCAACCAATTTTTCCTTGTAATCAACAAGGAATAAACAATTGCTCGATTTAATTTGAGAAAAAGAATTAATATCTATAAATACCTCCAAGAAAGATGGTTGATTAGTTAAATCCGCCATAACAAGAAGCTAAAGAAACAAATCAACCAAAGCAAAAGCAAAGCAAGATATAGAGGATTGCCATAAGGTCCTTTCATAACCTAGAAAGAAAATCGGAGTTGCAGCCTACCCTAGACAATAGAAAACAGATACAAAATAACCCCACTATCTCGCCTTAACAAAGGATAAAAAGACTAAAATTGTTGTTACACAAGGAAGAAACTCGCAAAACACCTGGAATACAGCAAAAAAAGCACCAATAACATCAAACACAATGAATAAAACCAAGAATCCAACTCGTAAAATGCAAAAACTCGAGGTTACGCTCGAAATAACTCCAACAATAACCCAAAAAAAAACTTTGTAGGCCAAAAACGCCTAAGAATTGCCACTAAGCTACAGGACAAAAAAAATGTGATAATTAAAACGCAAAAAATTCCAAAACAACCAAAATATCTCTGAAAAACACCTCGTAAAATACCACAAAAATTGAAAAATCAGCAAGGTGAACAACAAATTGTTAGATCTCAAAGAAAATATGAGAAAAAAACAGAGAAAAATAG